TTTCTAGCGACCTTAGATTTTTATTTCCCATATATCAAGTAGACTGCGGAGACAATTTTTTTGAAAATCTTTGATTTTCAGTAATATATTTTGATCAGCAATATATTTTGCCTGGCCTAGCTTCGCACCGGTGCAATTATGTGATGTCTAAAATAATTTAGAAAAACACTGTTCAATAAATTTTGAGTTTTTCGCTTTAGTATTGATAGTAGTTCATTGTTACGAATAGTGCCCTTCGAAAAACAATATCGTAATTACACATAATTAAATAAAAAAGAAAAAATCATAACTATTTTATAACGTTTATTCATTATTATATTTAATCGAATGGCTTTAATGAGAAACATGGATAATAAGTTGTAATTTTATCGTGAAACATAGATCAAAATTTGTCCACAGCTTACAGATTTAACAACTGGTTAATTTTAGCATTTCATTTAATGTCAAAGTTTTGTCATTACTGAAAATTATTGCAGAATGCCTTTATATATACAATAATACAGATATTGGTTAATTTTTTGAATAAGCATTCACAGTCTCGTAAACCTGATAAGATCTTTTTGTCTATCTCTCCTTATATGCACAGCATCATAGCTTCTTGATGTTCAGAACGAAAAGAAAAAAATAAGGGAATGTTCTTACGATCTGTTCCGTGTGGTAACTGCGTAAGAGAATCTATCGCCACATTTAGTCCCGTGGGTGTCGTAAGAGGCGACTATGGGAAATAACAGATGGTCTTATAGCTTTCGGTAGATGCAGGTATACCATCTTATTTTCAGACAGTCAGCAGTGTCAAGGCGCCTGTCAAACGTTACTATTACCAACAGGTAAAATTAAACATTTTGTACAACCGATTTCAATAAAATATAATTTATTGTTGATTTTTTTAGAACCGCTTAACCTATTTCGATAAAATTTAAATGGGAACACCTGGAAAGTATATTCTTTGAAACAAAAGAAGAATTTTTCGAATCGGTTCAGACGACTTCGAGTAGTCGGTGAAAATACACAAATTATAAAAGATTCCGAGGAATTATTAACCTCCTCCTTTTTGACGTTGGTTGAAAAGATTACTTTCAAACAATACTAAAATTACAGATATGTTATTATAAACTAGCTAAAATAAATCGCTTAGGAAAATACATTTAATAAGCTTATCAGTATAAAATTGATCTAACTTTTTTACGATAATTGTGTATCGTTAAAACAATTGCATGAGAAGAGCTATTATATTTTTAAATTTAATCTTATGATGCAAAATATCTACCGTAATAAATAAGTGGATGGTATCAATTATTAGGTATCAAAAATGTAAGTGAAATTTTTGATGAATGAAAAGCTTTTAAGAATATTATCTTAATTAGATCAATGACAATGAACAAGTGTGAGTCGTTGGAGAAAAACTTATTGTTCTACGATTGTAAGGCGTGATTGCACGCTACGGGAGCGTATTGTTTCTAAACACGGTTTATAATTGGGATTGCGTTTTCTTTTACTTGCTTGAGCTTGAGAAAAGAGCCAAGTGAAGACTGAATGAATAGCGTAGTCTGTCTTCATTATAAATTATAACTTTCTTGCTGCAAAACATTGTTATCACTCCCATAATCATCATCAACATCATCATCAGTACAGCTCATCACAAGGTCACTGCTGGACGGAGGCCTCCCTCAAAAAATGCCACACGGCACGGTCTTAAGTCATCATATATATCTCATATCCTATATCCATCTATATCCATCGACTTCCTGCCTCTCTTTCCAGTTCATTATTCCATCTAGTTGGGGACCATCCAACACTTCGCTTACCTGTACGACGCAGCTAACCGAGAACCTTTCTTCCTATAAATTATGTACTTGTATGTAAAACATACGTATACCTTTTAACGACATCTTTTAACGTATCCATTTATAGACAAATATATTATACTGGTAAAAAACTGTTGTTGCCAACTGCCAAGCCTGGCAAATATTACAGATATAAGGGGGATATTGCAATCTAAGGGGAAACCTAGGTTCAACAGTGGACTTTGATAAGACTCTAATTAATGAAGGAACGAATAAATATAATACTAAAATCCAAAATATTTTTTTAACATCTATATCTTCAAAATACATTAAGAAATCGTTTTGAAATAACTACATTAATACTATTTTTTTACATGCAAGTGTTTCATTCTGTACCTGTCCGTTGTATGTCCGTTTTGTAACTGTATTATCAATTGTTTAAACACGTCGTTAGAAAAGTAAATCTACCAATAATTTATACTATTACTATACTGTCATTCTTAGTTGTCTTTATTCAATCGTGTTATTAGTAAAATTAAACCTATTTTATTCATTAGATTAGATTTTGGTTTGAGTATTTGAGATAAAACAAATTCAATAATTAATTAGGCTATTGGTAATAAATCATATCTATTATACCTAATGAATGAAAATATTATATTTTAATAGATAGCCTAAAAAAAATAGAAGAAATGGACGGATAAACCCACATAATTGTAGTTATGGTTAAAAAAATTAGTAACATTTCCGTTTAAATTCGAAAAGTTGTTAGTCACACGTACTTTGCTGTCAAGATGGAATCAACGATAAGACTGGTTGTGAAAAGAAAGTGTTCGTACTTAATTCGTTTGTGATTGTATTTACATTTGTGTGTTATATTTACAATTGTACCTGCTCTCACACACAAGCAAAAATAGTATGTAGCTAACTGGTTGGAGCCAGTTAGCATCATGTTATTTGTATTTTGTCAAACTTAACACACACAAAATATAAGTCTGAATCAAATATAATTACTTTTACGGGAAACTATTATCATGGAAAGATCCAGCGTAGCAAGACCCAGCAGGATTTTTTTAAAATTAAAATGTATAAAGTATATTTTTTGTAAAAACACTTTTATGTAAAAAAATTCGGAAGCAGCATAGCATTAGCAGTCAAGGTATCACTTACTTGCTTTTCCTCAGCCGTCAATCACTCGCATAACTGAGGATACGCCACTGGCTCATATAAATTGCCCGAAAAAGTCTCCAGACTTTGTGTGTCTTTAGCCCTGACCTGATAGATTAGTGTTACGGAATCAAATAAGTGATTCGAGTAGCTAAGATGATAGGGAGTGATTCGCCTTTTATTAACCGACCTGAAGCTTATTATCAGTCTACAGTCCTTTGCTTTTGCAATATGGTCCTCAATTATTTTTATCCACACTGGGATGGCGCTACATTGTGCAGTAACGCGTCCAACCATGGAAAATGTTTGGCGCTAATAATACGGCTAACTAGCATTGCGGCGCCATAAAGAAATGTGTCCGTCTCACAAAGGTCCCGGCTAGCTTTCAAATAGGTCAACAACATTAAGTTTAGAACATTCACGACAGCTCGATTCCCCTTGCTTGGTATGCGTGGAGAACATGATCCATTTTTGAGAGGCGTACTGCGTGTTTATATAATCATCTCTTCGTCTCTCCAATGTGCTCCTTATTTTCTCTAGTTCATAGGCGACTATTTTATTATCGTCGAAATCAACCATAACAAGAAGATCCACAGTGGCATCCACGTAAGCGAGTTGATATGCAACATATGGTGCCGCATCTCCATCCGCAGTATTTTCAGCCTTTGAGAAAACAGCCACACGTCGTAGTCGTTCGAGTTCGGAGACATCAAATGTTTTTTGAGCGCAAGATGTACGAATTCAGTCTGCCGGGTTTTGCTCGGTGACGGTTAAAGATAGGTCTAGTTTAGTAAAACAGCGATGCACCCTGGTCCGATACGCAAAACCTCCACCTTTTCCCCTTTTGCTCTAAATACGATCTTGTTCATATGGATCTCCCATCGCATGCGGCATATTTCAGCGGTGGGTGTAGTTGCTGGGTATGAGAAGGCACTGCCGACACAAATTCAGCTGGCGAGGTTGATGGATATGAGACACTGATGGGTGGTCGTGCAGCACGTCGCGCTTGGCTGGCAGCTCGCATGCTGCCGCGTTCAATATCAACTCCAGAAACACCCTGGTAACCTCGAGGCAGCGGCCCTATACGAATTCCTATATTGATCATTTTATGCGGTCATTTGTACAAACAGGCCTTTGGCCACCAATTTTGCCGAGGCAAGTCGCTTACACACCTGTGCAAGGCGCTTACTGACTACGCCGACGTAGCAGTTTTATCTCCTAACTGCTAAATCACAGAGAGACGTGATAGTCACTTCATTAGACCTTTATTCTTATTACTATTCATTCTGACATAATATAGAAAGCAGTCTATGACGTAATAGCAATGCTAATTTAAAATAGTTATATAGTAGGTATAATGATAAAAAATATACATTTGAATATGATAAATAGCTTGTTTTGGAAAGTGCCGCCATGTATCAATTAAATATTAATTTGATTTTATGTTTGCAGCAAACAAGCATAGTAAACAAGCTTTGCCCGTATAAAATAACGAGTTGATAGCGCCCGTATACTCCCAACGTAAGCACGCACTTTACAATGCAGAAAAATTTAAGTCATTTTTGCTCCACTTTACAAAAAATGACGAAAAATTCAACTCATTTAACTTTTGCTGCGCTTTACTTGATGGCACACAGACAGTTTTAAACAGTGGTAGAGCCACGCGGCAGCTTTTGCTGTCGCACGGATGGGCCGCCTCGAACCGGGGTGGTACCACGACCTCACAGAAAACCAGCGTGAAGTAGAGGTTTACCTCTGCGTTTCGCTTGGTGAGTGCAGGTGGCCGGAGGCCCTTTTTACTGGAAATGAGGCATTCCATCACAGTCCTCACGGGTGACAACGCATCTACATTTTGATTTGTAATAGAGGATAGATGTAGATGTCTATGGGCCGCAGCAACCACTTACCATCAGGTGGACTGTGTGCTCGTTTGTCACCCTTATCCTATAAAAAAAAACAATTTATGACTATACAGAAAGTTAATTTGTTTTATTTATTTATTTTATACAGTAACGCAGGAAATAAACGTCACCATATACGAAATATTTATTAACTTTTTCGATATCTTTCAAAATCTTTCAAAGCGCTAGCTCCAGCCTTCAGTGCATCTGCAAATTTGGGTCCTTCATCTGCTAACGTCTTCGTGAACTCCTCCACAGTTTTCTTTTGGTCCGTAGCCAGTTTAGTCAAGGCCTCTTTGAACTTGTCCAAGTTGACGTTCTTGGGATCGGTGGTTTCGGAGAACACTTCCCGTGCTTTCTCCTCCGTTACTTTGATTCCGTCAATGATCTTAGCATCTTTCATCCATTGAATTAGACCATCGAGAGTGTTTTTGCCCATTTTTACTAGTTTTTCAAACTGTGCGTCCATTTCTACTTGAAATTATTACGGACAGAAAATATTAAGTAACCTTTAGAACGATGTCACATACCTATTATTATTTGTGATTTAATCAAGAGTTTTGGTACGCGTTCATCACCTCGCGTACAGAGCCGTAATCATTCAGTAAGTAATCAGAATTTGATCAACGCTGGTACTACTTACTGAAACTGTTAATTGTAAAAGTTGCCCTACTAAGAATGCAAACTAATAAAACTTGCTAAGTGCGTAAGTAATTTTATCTAATTTATACGCTCGTGATTTTAGTTTAAATGTCTTTAATAACATGGGTCCACGCAGATTTAGTATGCAGCCATTTTCTTTTGAAATTATATAAATTGTAGAGTTCAGTAATTTTCGAATTATCCTTGGTAAAAAACGGCATTCATTTTTAGGTTACCAAATATAATATAATTGTGGTTGGCTATAAAATAAGCTCAAAAATAAGGCAAAATTCCATAAAATTGCCGTGTTCTAAGAAAATGGCATAGTAAGTTTAACTAAATTGAAAGAATCTAAACAAAAATTATAAAATGTAAAATCTAACCGTGTAGTGCTGCCGGTGTAAGAAACTCACCCCCATAACGTGCTGTGGGTGTCGTAAGAAGCGATAGATGGAAACAAACCAGGAGATGGACAGCACCAAACCTATAAAACCCGGCACTAACTCTTAAAATAACACACTCATTTGTATAAAGTATAAACTCAATTTGAAATATACATAAACGAGTTACGAAAGTTATATTACAAAATTATAATATTAATGTAAAATCTTCCAACAACTTTTTTTTTTGGAAAAATTCTATATAAATTATAAAAAGTGCACGAAAAAGTTTTATTCAGGTAGAAATACAAAGTGTGAGTTATTAGTTAATAGTAAGTGCAGCTATCTTTGTACTGAGCAAATGCAAGCATCTTAAGTAAAATATTTTCCTCTGGAGAAAGTATACCAAATTATTTTGCTCTAATTATGCTGTGATGCTTGATGTTACGGCACATGAGCTGCCTCTGAGAATGTTAACCGGATGTTCAGTTGCGTTGGCTATTGCTACGAGAGAAATATTCTTTATTCATAGCTTCAAATTATTTTCTTCTACGTTTATTGTTTTGCAAAATCAGCTTGACAATATTAATCCTTGGATACATGAACCCTTTTCATTAATTACTTCTTACCGTGTTCTTGGGTCAAAATGAACATTGCGATTGATTAACTATCGTGTCTATATATCATAATAACAGGCTGTAAGGTATTTAAACTTCGTTCTTAAGGTTGACAATGCAACGGTGACTGAACGGTTATTTGAATTTGATTGCAGGTGATCATGGGCTGTAGTGGACACTTACCATCAGATGAACTGTCATCTTGTTTGTCACTTTGAGATATAGAAATACACATGGCAATGATTCATCCTTGAGATATAATACACTTCAACGTGGCTCACCACATATAAGGATTTACATAGCACAAATTTATAAATACATAACAATAGAGATAGCGATCTAAGTGGCTAGACGACGTATAAAATATAAGGTTAAAGCAGTTCTATTTCTAACCTAGTTACCTATAGGTTACATTTGTATTTATATTTTTTGCCTATACTTTTTTCCTATTAATCGAAAATTGATGATTGTATACAACTTTACTTACTCTCATACCATAAATCACGTAATAAATACCTATCTCTCTGAATCTAAATCTAGAGTCTCTGAACTATATATGACATCACATGTCCAATAACCAACACATACATACACTGCGCACAATACGCTTGTTCTCACACCCACAAGTCGAATGTTGGGCGTAAATCTTTCGAAGAATGCGTTAGGAAATTTGCTATGCTTAAGAATATTTGCCTACACTTAGCACGTTGGGCAAGCAAGTTGTGAGCTCGGAGCCTATAGACTAGCACTAACAATGTTGTTACCCATCATCAGTGTGTGTTTTTTAACTTTTATCCAAATACGTCGAACCTCGACGTATTTGGATAAAAGTTCCACAATTATTCGGGCGCTAGAGTCTAATCCGACAATCAGCAGAGTGAACCACGTGCCAATAAGAGTAGCGTTTGTCTACAGTAGTCTATTCTAGTAGTCTTATTGTCCCCCTCACACTGGCGCAGATTATATTATGATAATATTTTTGGGCGCATTTAGACCTGACCTCTTTCGAGTATAATCCAAAGTAAACAACAAGACATTTTTTAGTAGTACATTTGTACGTGCAAACTTACATGTTTTCACTGTTTCTAACATTTGCAAGTTGCAGTGGCAGTGTATTGCAGTTTAAAGTGGGCAAGTGAGCTTGAAATAAGTTCCAGAGGTATAGGAAAAATCACGATCGCGATCTTAAAATCAAATATTTTTCTTTTTGGAAAGTCTTGTATATTTAGTTAAGGGCCAGTAAAAGAATTTGTACTTTGTAAGGTGGATTAGAACTATACGACAGAAACGTCATTCGGGATGGAACAGACTACTTTAATATTTTATGACAAAAAACTTTTTAAAAACATTTTTTTTTAATTTTTTAAATAAAAAATATTCCAGCAAGAGAACGAAGTCAACTTTCTTGGCACCATATCACATGAGTAAAGAAATCGTACCATACAGAGGTAAAGCTTCATACACCCGCGTTGTGATAGGTACACTACTACTAGCTTGAGACGCGTATGTGCGTGAGCACTGGCGGCTCGTTACGTACAGAGAGAAACTGCTTTAAACTGGCTCGGCTAGTGCTCTAACTCAGGGTTGTGTAAAAAAATAATAAGTGTCAAATTTTCTTTTTTAAAGAATAATACGCATCAAATGAAATATAAAAAAGTGTAAATATGGTTTACATAGATTTAAATCTTATCGAGGTAGGCGCAAGAGATACCGCTCATTTTGTAAATAAAATTAATAATTTGTTTGATTTATTATACTCAAGTACACTGCAATCTCCTAATAAATATAAAAGAACTTTTCGAAGCGATAGTTATCAAATTAAGTTTTTATAAGAAATGCTAACATTTTTCAGGAACATAAAATCAATAAGAAGTGATAGGCAGAAAGACGTTACAAATAGCATGAATTTCATTCCCGTGTTTCAAGCGTCTATAAATCTTCAATAAAACTTCATGAAGAATTAAAATCAGAAGAAATTAAATTAATTTATATTTACGAGACGTCTCAATCAAGATTGTCTCGAAAATTTCGTATGTTAAATTGCTTAAGCAAAAATTTTGCGAATATTTTGATCTCATCAAAAACATTGTAAATATTGGTAGTGAAATATTAAAACGTGTGTAAGACTATATAATATGTTATGCTATGTGAGTGCTTTCCAATAGATTATTTAAAAAAAAAAAACTTTACGTTAGATTTAGAATTTACCATTGAATTAAAAGGCACAAAAAATTGATGAAGAACAATAATTAGTAGTTTGTAAAAAATATTCTATCTTAAGTATCAATTAAAAGCTGATAAACGTTTGGTTATTTAATTTCATCCTCCCATGCCAACCCTACAAAAATAGGTAAACATTTTGACAGCTCCTTAGAAGCTTTGCCTCTGTATAGTTTCTTTATTCATGTGACCATATCGTGGGTAAAAGGACTGTATGATAATTTAAGTTTGTAGTTTTAGTTTTTATTATATTATAATAAAATAAAGTAAAATATACAATTAAGAAACAACTTGCCCAGCTTAAAAAGATTAAGGTACATTATTATTTACTTTACCTTTTTTCAATTATATGTTTAATATGACCGTTTTGCTCGATACGCCAGAAAGTTTTTAAATTGTTGTTGTCTTTCTAATTTCTATATCGACAATAAAACTTATCCTACTCGCAACTTTCCCGACAGTAAAAATGCTATAAAGGGAAAACAAATGCAAATTTGGCTTTATGTCTCAAGCAATTAATCTCAGTGAATAGTTAAAATTACATCATAAACAAACGCTTATATTATAAAATGCCTAATGAAATATTTATGGCCATTTCTCAAACATAACTGGAATTTCTATTATAATGTTCGTTATTCGTTTTCTAATGCTATATAATATCATGATAATTGTAGGCCTTTCAAAAGTCTCCTGTCGAACATCGGTCTCCCCCATAGATTACCTCATAGGGGAGATATTTGCCATATGCCATTAATAAAAAATAACATGATTTTAACATCAATAACTTTTCTTATTTTATAAAAATATATTATATAATATATACGGCATATTTTCATTGCTGGTCTCTCAACTTTCTCGTCAATCTATCTAGAATTCAAGAATGGGGGAGGTTCTCAGTTCGACTGTATTTTTGCATTTATCTTCTATGTTTAGTTATTATTGTTTGTGTTAGGAATATCGATTCCTTGTAAAAATATGTCTCACTAAACAAGTTAGACAAGAGATTCTGAAGGGAGAGTACAGCTTGATCTAGTGCATTATTTATTATGGTGACGATTTCTCGCGAGCAGTTCGAGATTTCACCACTTTCATCTTGTCGTGCATTTACGGGTAACGCAACATTCATGATCAATTTATTCGATTAATGGATGCTTTGGACTGCAGTTAATTTTCATTGTTAAATATTTATTTTATTCGAAAAGAACTTAATTCATTTGAAAAACAAATATTTTTTTAACTTTATTTGTTCTTCTTTTTCTTCTTAAGTCCACATTAGTCCTTCAATGAATATGCTAGAAGGCAAGTTCACATTGCTTCAAAGATTTTCCTATACTTACCATGGTTAGCAGGCGGATTGGATAACTTAGAACTAGATTCGGCATTTTTAAGTGGTATTTTTGACATCATTCAGTTATCAGAGTTTTATGTGACATACAGCAGGTGCTCTGCACTAGATTAATCTATCATTTAGTAGTATAATTTGTATTAAAAAGTGTGTAAAGAGAAAAGTGAGTGTGCGAACATTAAAAAAAGTATTAATTATACAAACGTAAAAATTAAACATATTAGATTGTGTTATCTTTTTACGTTGAATTTTAATGACGTTTGTT